CTGCGAGGGCGCGTCGCGCTACCCCCGAGGGTCATCCTGCGCGGGGTTGCACGCAAGCGCGCGTCGTCACAGAGGAGTGTGTCGCGGTGCCGCCGTGGGCTCTGGTGGATCTGCCTCCCATACCCAAGTGTCTCAACTTATTTGCCCATTCCTAGGTACATTTTACGTAGTTTGCGGCGTGCCAGGCTGGCTCTCGCTGTTTGCAACCCGTCCCTTGTTGATGAGGTACGCTTGGGGATAAGGACGGATCTCGGTATTGATAATTGATACCGAGATGCCCGTGTGCGCTGGGGTGCGCTGCCCCGCCCCTTCACTCGCTGGCCGCCGTGGCCGCCTCCTCGGTGCCGGCGCTGGCCTCGCTCCCCGTGGACGCCTCCCCGTCCGCGGCCGCCGAGCTGCCCTCACTGCCCTCGCTGCTGCCGCCGTCCACGCCGTCCGGGGCGGTCGTCGCGTCCGGGGCGGCGCCGGCCCCGGCCCCGCCGTCCACGGCCTGACCCGGGTCGAGGCAGCACCGGCGGCAGAGGCCGCGGTTCCGGTGCCCCGCGGCCGCGCTCCTGTGACCGTCGCTGCAGAACACGAAGCAGGCCCAGTCGTCCTTCTGGATCTCCGCGCTCGAGACCGCGACCCTGCCCTCTAGGCACGGCGCCTGCAAACATCGTCCGCAAAGCAGAATGCCGCCCGGGTGAGTAGTTGCCAGCAGAGGCCACCCTCGCACTCACGCCAGCCCACGCGGGGAGGCGTTGACACGTCGTTGACAATCCTGGTCGCGTCGCCACGGGTCGGCGGGACGCAGCAGCGCGGTGCTCACCCCGTTCTTGAGGACCACGGCAGAGACGCTGCAGACGGCGAGCAGGAGCAGCGGCGACACGGACATGTTGCGGCGGGCGGTGGCTGTTGTCGCCGCGACCCGTGGGCAGCAATTGATACGGGAGTGCTCTGGACCGGCAGTACTGGCTCGCAAAAGTGCTGCATCCACCAAGGCCATTTCCGTAGTGCCCTCTCTCTCTTTCTCGTACAAAACACAGCCCACCGAGGTGTGCGATCACTACAGCAACATCACTCAAACCGTGGTCGCAGGCGGGGCAGTAAAACTCACGTGTGTGCGTGTGTTGTGCTTCCGTTTGGAAAAGACGGTTTAAAAGTGCAATAAAGAAGAATTATCCGTTTATCTGAGGATAAACGCCTGCTAGTCAGGCAAAGTCTCGCTTTCGAGTGCAGCGGAGCTTGGCGGTTGGCCTACCCTACGGTCGGCAGGGGTCCAATCCAAACATCGAAGCATCTGTCTTGTGATGAGCGCGGTTTTCAGACATCTTCCTATAGACTCTTTTTGGGGCATTCATTTTGCTTGAGTCTTGGAAAGAGAGGGGTGGCTTAGCGGAGTGCACATACACTCTTAGTCCCTTATGAAGAGCAGAAATAACATAACAAATATAGCATAACAAACGGATTTTCTTCGTAATACAAAGCGCACCTCTTTGTTAACAGACAGGGCTCGCCGAGCCCTTCGTGATACGAAGGATTTGTTTGTATTAAGAAGGTGCCAAATGCTTTGTACGTTACAAAGAGCAGTTCTTCGTAAGAAACTTAATACATAATTTTATTCAATCGAGAACTTCGCTTGACTACGAGTTCTATACCGCCTTAGAGCTACGACATGTGGGTTTGCTGTGTCTACCGGTTTCATTTTCAATACCTCGCAATAGCCCATGATATTATTAATCTTACTCTGTGTTGATGTTGACTGAGATGAGAGACTGCTTGGGACTCGCCGACGTGGCGTTGGCGGGGGCGGATCGTAGGTGGGTGTCTTGGTGGGGGCGAGGGCGCAGGGCTCTGGCGGACGGGGCGCGGCGCCGCGGAGGAGTCAGGCGTCAGTACCCCCGTGAGAGTGGCGCAGTGAGGAAGCAAGCACCGCAGCATCAGCACCATGCCGGTAGGTCATGCAGTCGAGTGCGTGCGTGGGCGAGGGCGTGCCCCTGCCACAAATATTCAGACGAATTACTGGAGAATTTACCATGAACGTTGGGGACCGACTACCTCAAATCGTAAAACGATGCGATTTCTCGACGCTACATATCTATGTTGTCAGTTGTTATGCTGCGCCGAGCGAGTAGACAACCCGTCCGCACATGAATGTGGCACAGCATAACTACAAAAGTTGCGCGGGGTTAATCAGCAACATGGTAGAAGTGTGTGACATTCAAACAGTTAAAGTTGCGTGCCTAAATGTCCCACACTAAAAAGTGTGTGAACATTGTGTCAAGCCTAGAAAAGTGTGTGACAGCCCTGTCATTCATCACAGAAAAGTTAGTGACCCATAGTAAAAAGTGGTGACATTTTGGCACGCACTTTTATAATTACGAGAAAACTAAAATGTCACCATGCGACGCTATGTGTTGTGTGTGTCGGTTGTGTCGCACTCGATCGAGACTCGCACCATGCTCGGAACGTGAGCCCCTTGCTGTCAACGGGGCAGGTCAGGAAGGGCTAGCCGGGCGCGGGGTTTGCCAAGTATCGTCTTTGTAATTGATGACTGACACGATGGCTAAGCTAAAAGTTCCTCGGGAAATTAATGAACTACGGCTGTTGAGTTGCGTCTTGGCGAGTCCTATTCGGAGAAATTTTGTCTGTAGGAGTTTTCAACTTCTACGTCGATTCGATAGATCATCTCACGGGATGAGAGTATGATTTGCATATCGGCTAAGAGTGACCGTGTCGCGGCAGGGTATACTCTGAAAACTCTACAGCATGCACTCACATTAACGCTCGCGCTGGTTTCCCAGTTGCACGCATTCGGATACGATTCCTCGATTCCTCGATTCCTACGTGTTTGTTTGTATTGCTATGCATTTTGGATTTTTCGCACTTTTGACCACACAACGCATTGTTGCTACATATTTTACTTAAAAGAACTATTAAACAGCCTTGATCGTGGCTTGAGGGATGACTGTTGAGGTCGAAACTGGGTTGGCGTTTGCAACCTACAATTATTTCTATGACCCAAACTCTGCGCGCCGACTTCAAAATTAGAGTTCGCTAATGCATGTTAATATTAAGACATCATTGCATTACATGCTGTGAGGTCGTGTTGAGTCCACGTTACTACTACTCGTCCAAAAGTCAAATCAAAACGGTATCGTCGAGTCGGCTGACTTGTATAGGAAACAGTCGAATGATATGAAGCGTCTGAAGTCTGAAGTCAGCCGATATCGGCCGATATGTCGTCAGCAACAGTTTCCGGTCGGACACTTCGTCACCCTCTCCAGTTCCGTACCTTAGCTCACTCAGTTCCGGTCCGGAACATCTGGCTCGGTGGGCCCGTCGCTCGCGCCCCCTCCGCCGCTTCCGCTGACATGTGTGACTTCGGGAGGCGGAGAAGGGGGCGGGGGGAGGGCGGCAGCTATTCCTGGGTAGAAGTGGGTGGATTCGGTTGGAAGCAAAGGAAGGGTCGGACGGCGAGGAAAATGCCCAGGACGTGCGAGGGTTGGGGGAGGGGGGGGGGGGGTGGGTGGATTCGGTTGGAAGCAAAGGAAGGGTCGGACGGCGAGGAAAATGCCCAGGACGTGCGAGGGTTGGGGGAAAGGAGTGAGGGGGCGAGTGGGGTCGGGGCGGACTGTAAAAGACTGGTCTCATTTTAGCGGCCACTCTTGAGGCCCGTTGGCGCCTCGCGTCTAGTGCACACGTCGCAGGGCAGGGCGGTTGCCACGGCGGCATCACGATTTATTAAATTCAGCCAACCGATGCCCAAGTTCTCTCGTGGACCAGATTGAAATTCTGGCGTCGGTGGTTACCTTTTCTCCGCCAGCACAAAGCTGACCGGTGGCTTGTTCAGTCCTAGAGGCCGTTTTGGTTGCCGTGAGGGTCGGTCTCACAGAATAATAAAATTGCCTGAAAACTGGCTATCCATGGCTGGGTTGTTTTCTAATAATAATATAATGTCATCACAGATTTCTTTGTTTGTCACATGTAGTACTACTTGGAAATCGAAGTAAAAAAAACTGTGATGACACGGTTGTAAAAAAAGATAACTAAAAGATATTACATTTTTCAGACAATTTTTTTTAACATTTGTGCTGCGCAACTGACCTTGCCGCTTGCCTTGTGCCGCCGGCAGTAAATGTTGAAGTCAGCAGACCTACTTTTGCTTTCGTAACTCTCGTCTCCCGAAAGCCCTAAAATCACTATTTCCGCGGACCGATATGTAAACAGATGCCTTGCTCGCCGCGATCCTCTGCGCCGTTAAAGTTGGGGGCGTACAGGCCGGAGAGAAGCCCCCGCTGCACGTGTGCAGTAAATAATTGTTGCACCGGTTGTTTCCGACACTGACATCAGCGGGTGACGGGAGTGCACGTCCCTTTGGCCGGCCGCCATGTCGCCTCTCTGCTCCCCCCGCGCGGTCTCGGCACCACAACAAGTGTCAGGTGTCTCCGCTCACACTTCAGGATGCGCTTGCACCGCACACGATGTCGATGTTTAGCCTTCGACATACCGCAAATATATTACGGTCAAGGTTCAGGGGGGGGGGGGACAATAAAAACAAACAAAATGTAAGTGGTTCGAAAGAAAACAGTTTGGGTGGCACCTGTGGCCCCGCCAGGCTCCGCGTCACCCTGGCATTCACCTGCGGGCCGCGGTCCTGTGACCACGACCCTTGGCAACACTCCACCCCCGCAGCGCACGCGGCACAACACGGCCGGCTCACAGGGCGTGGCGCGCGAGATTCAAATTGAATTTATAGCGTGAGCGTAGCCGGCATTCGGTCAATACTCAGGCGATATTTCGCGACGAGGGATTAATATGGGACGGAACGCCTACGCCTACGTTTTTGATGCCTGTGAACGACTGACTGTCAATTTCTTGGTGGCAATATTTTTTTTATTTGTTTGTGCTGCCACAGCATCCCCCATGGCTTTATTTTTGCTCTCTATCGTTAATATTTTTGCAGCGACTCGAGAGAGTGCGGGGGCGGGGCGGGCATGTGGTCCGCACCCCCGACCGATAGACAGAGTTTAGAATGGGCCACATTACCCGGGGGCGTAGGGCTGGCGGGGCGGGGGAGCGCGGAGGGTATTTCTGTCGATGAAGTCGTGACGCCGAGCCGAGGCGCGCCCCCAGGATGTGCCGCGGCACTGCCGCCCACATCACGGAGCGGGAGCGCGGTCCTCCGTCTCCCTGCAGTCGGGCTGATGCGGCGGGGCGCTGGCACACACTTCTGTGCGGGGGAGGATGGCGGGGGAGGGTGGCGCCCCGCCTCCCTGGCCCCAAACCGTTTGTCAGGTGCCGTTCGCCGCCCACTGTCCGCGCGCCGCCGCGCTGGAGGGGAGGGAGCGCCTGGGAGGTAGGCCGCAGCACGACCGCTGTGCACTTGGCCTCCTCATGTTGCCTACGCTGCAGGCGCCGACCTCGCCGGTGAAAAGAGTGTTGAGCTGTTTACGAGCAAATTTCGTTTAGTCTTTTGAAATTTTGATGGGTTGGGTGGTGGTATGGGCTTTCCGTCGGCCGTCGGAATGTTTAGAATGGTGTGCACGGTGTGCGGAATGGAATAGAAGCTAGGCGAGGCTGACGTATCAGCTGCAAATAGACGTCCCTAAAAGAGGAAGAACTAAACATTCGTTCTGCTGGTGTTGGACCCATCGTCAGTTCAGCGGTGGTGGCTTAAGCCTGTGAGCTCCCCGCTATATAGCCCTTCTTCGCATAACCCCTGGCACGCCCCGCGGCCGCAGGCCTGACCTTGACTGCAGGACGGCTCTGGCCGGCTCTGGCTGCCAAGATACCGTAATGCTGCCCAGGGCACTGCAGCGAGTTTTCAAACACGTAAACAAATTGGCCATGCTGCTCAAAATTGACGTTCCTTCGCGTATTTGAAAAGGAAACAGCGTTCGAGCTGCGACAGCTTTCTAATGCCTGCTCTCCGACAAGAAACAAAGGAGCCTCGCATACCCAGGTAGCCGCACTTAATATAATGAATCGTATTTTTGCCTCATTAATGCGCTAATAATGCGCTAAAACAGGGGCAAAAATTCAGGTTTTCGTGCTACCTGAAACATGCACCACCAAAACTGTATTCATGATATTAACACATTTTTCAAACGATTTTTCTCGAGTCCATTTCGCTTGATCTAGGAGAATGTCCTCAACACAAGCGCAACGCACAAGGTAATGAAACAAAAATCTATTACACTGTGAAAAATAGTTGTAGGTTTTACGGGGAAGTTTTCCTTGACGCGTGTCTTATAATTACAATTCAAAATTGTAAAATTACAAGACTATGTATCGACTTCTTGGACACAGTGTAAAATCAAGTGTAATACACGGCCGCAGATGGGATAGGGCTGGACGTGCAGGAGCACGGGGAGCAGTGTCAATGTACTTCGCTCGGCTACCGAGAATTGTTGTTATATTTAGCCAAAGTTTTCAGTGCGCGATTACTAGGTCTTGGCCTGTCCTAACCGCTGCGGAGAGGCCAGCCCTGGCGTGGCCGGGCCAGGAACTGTTGGGCGGAGCGGAACACGGTTTGTCTGGTGGCCAGCGTAAACGCGCGCCCGCCAGAAATAGCGGGGGCCTGGCCGCCACACCAGGCGGGGCCGGGCGGGGCCGGGAGGGAGCCCCGCGCGGGGCCGCCACCGCCGCCACCACAACACAGACCTACCCCTTGGGCGAGCGGCGAGCGCCTCGTCCAGCGGGGTGGTGATGGTGGGTGAGGAGAGGACGCGGCGAAGTAGGCAGTCCAGTCTTGTGAAGAGGTCGACTCTCTGTTGCAGGTGTACGATGAGAAAACTCCGGGCTGGCTGAACTCGCGCCCAGTAAGGCATATAATCACTCCCCTTTATTCTGCGTGCTTGATCCCCGACCCCGACAATCATTCGCTTGGCATTCAGCACGCAATCCCGGTCACCCGAGGAGAAGCAAAGGGCTGCACGACGTCTTTTGAAAAGATCGTATTGCGAAAGAGTGAAGGCACGGAAAACTCCGAAACGACGCTTCCGAGACGCTTCCTCGAGGGGTCGTCAACTTCGATATTCCTCCGTACACGGACTGATATTACCTCAAATATTACACCAATATTAGCCATACTACTGGTAATATTACCTCAATATTACACATTTTTCTAGTATTATGACGTCACAGCTTGAAAATTGGCTCAATATTACCAATATTATTTGTAATATTCAATATTCCTCCGTACACGGCCAAGGAGAGTTGACGACCCCTCGCGCTTCCTTTTTATTGTTTGAGGATATAGTACGAAGCGTCATTCCGGAGTTTTCAGTTGCCTTTAAAAAGAAATGTCGCAAATTTCACAAAACTATCAAAACCTATATCGTAGTACTAGGTCCTCGATAACAATGAGTACAAATTCTCGATACCAGAGTGCCCTGGAGATGTATCAAGATATCGTGCAGCCCTACTAAAAATTGCCACAACCACTGACTTGTACCTCTTATTTTTTTCCCCATGTTTATTTCTGAATCCTTTTGGCGTTTTGGCTAGGTTTTTGTCTTTTTTTTTAACACAGAGGAAAGCAATGAACTCGCGTGCTAGGGGCAGACACCATAAACTAAATGGCGGAGAGGCTTAAATATACTTGGCACCTCGTCACCCGCTTCACCGTTAGTTAGCAACGTCTCTCAATCAGCCGCGTGTCACAAGCCTGCGGCTCGCAAGCGCTCCCGCCGGGGCCCGGGCCCACCCGCCCTTAGGCCCGCCCACCACTGGCTGGGGGAATGCCAGCCAGCGCGCCGGGAGCGGGCCGGCCGGGGAATCCCCTTTTTCATCTCGCCTCTGTCTGGTCGTTTTCCAACGAAACTCAAAGCCCACAATGTTTATTATTAGTAGAGAACGTAACGCAAAACATTTTTAAAAATCTCCATAATTTATTTTTTTCTGAACCATTTTCAAATGATTAAAGTGGTACGGCGCATTCGCGGTTTTCAACTCGCCATCGCGCCAAATCCTGGGCTGGGGCGAGCTGTCGCGCGGATCAGACGCCGTCGTGTCGGCGTCGTCAGCACCTCGACTCGTGTCGCGGGGGAGGCGGCCGCTCTGTTCGGTTTTTAAAAAGACAAAGTCCACTTTGATGCGACCCAGCAGGTGGGTCATCAAATCTTGGGGGGCGGAGGGGAAGGGACCAGGGGTGTGGGGGTGCCGGGCAGTGTAGACAAAACATCAACCGAGGTTCATTTTTCACTTGGGACTCGAACAGCACAGAACTACTATGCCGTGTTGCTTGCTCGGGGCCATGTGTATCATAGGACGGCTCGTTTTATTCATTGCGTTTTTCTGCGATGAGTGCCGGGTATTCTTCCTGCATGTCTTCTCGGTTTTGTTGTTATGAACACGAAACACTAGCAAACACTTCGCTGAATGCCACCTCTTCTGCTGCCATCCAGCCCAGCCCAACCCTCCACCCTGTGTCGTCTAGTGTGCAACCGTTTCTAGATTTATACGCCGACCAAAAGTGACACATTTACTGTTGCATTTGCTGGTTGAAGCTCCGTGTGTGAGACCCTGCTGTGCGTGCGTCCAAAAAAATAGGCCTCTGCGGGTTCCCTTCTCCTCGAAGTTCGCACTGATTGTGAACTTGTCGCGTGTGCATGGTGTGCGGGTGGATAAGCGTGTGTGCGGCACGGCCACTCCCAGGAAAACTGTTTCTTGTTTCAATTCGTTAAAGTTAATACTGACACAAGATCAAACAAATAAGCCGATATTATCGGTGAAATAAAGAGGAAAATCGTTCCAAAGGCAAAATTGCCTTTGTTGCAATATAGTGAATTTGATCTTGTTTCAGCTCAGCATTTAATTGGAACAAGAAAGCATTTTTCCGCCTTTTTCTGGGTGCAGCTCCCGTGGTCCCCTGTGATCCTGTGATGCATCGTCATTTTTGGCCTAGCGTACCAACGCCCCTCACAGTCGGCCACAGTTCTGTTCGCGAGTCGCGGCAGGACTATGTCTCTCACTTTGGCCTGCCCGTAGTCCGAGCGAACAAACGATTTTTTTTACTGCCCTCAGTATTTGTACATATGTGTCACAAATATCATGACATCTATTTAACATCCTCTGCTAATTCCGAGACTAATCCTGAGCATAGTGTTGAAGACGTGAGAATCCCTCCACCTTCGTTTTGTCCAAGTGGATTAGCGACAGCCACTCTCTCCCCCGCCTGTACCCTGCGGGTGTACTCTGCGAGTCACCACTCACCTGGGTGCATCCTGCTGTTGCAGGCCCGCAACAAGGACCAGGAGAAGGAGGTCCTGGACTGGATCGAGGCGGTGACGGGCGAGAAGCTGCCCGCCGCGCCCTACGAGGACGTGCTGAAGGACGGCGTCGTCCTATGTAACCTCATCAACAAGATCGCACCCGACTCCGTCAAGAAGATCCAGACCAAAGGCACCAACTTCCAGCTCATGGAGAACATACAGAGGTATTGGACTATGGCCCCGGGACGATGGGACGTCGTGTGTTACACGCAAACTAACAGCAATAATGCATAAGAACACGCACTGCGTTCACTTAGGTTCCAGGCGGCTATCCGCAAGTACGGCGTCCCTGACGAGGAGATCTTCCAGACCGCCGACCTGTTTGAGCGAAGGAACATTCCCCAGGTCACCCTGTGCCTGTACTCGCTAGGCAGAATTGTAAGTAAACCCGCACAATAAATTTTGATTCCTCGTGGCCTCCTTCAAAGTAGTTCAAGTAGATCCGTGTAAAAATGACCCCACCCCCTTCTCAAAAAATCACTGGAGAGACAAAGGTGCCATCTTGCCTTTTTAGAGGCATTAGTGAAATAGTGCCTGTACCAACGATCTACCGGCCTTCAAGATGCTGTTTTCGACAATGTTGGTGTGTTCTTTTCAACGGCAATATTGCAGTAGCGCCTTTGAAAGGTGTCATCTTGCACTTTTGTTTTTCCAGTGATGAGGTGACGTGTGCTGTGAGAAGTCACTCGACCCTTATCTCTCCTTTTGCAGACCCAGAAGCACCCCGAGTACACCGGTCCCCGCCTCGGCCCCAAGATGGCTGACGAGAACAAGCGCGAGTTCACCGAGGAACAGCTGCGCGCGCACGAGGGCCAGCTGAACCTGCAGATGGGCTACAACAAGGGAGCTTCCCAGTCCGGCCACGGCGGCTTCGGCAACACCCGGCACATGTGAACCGACCTCCTCAACCCCGCCTCGCCCTGCCTCACCCCGCCCGCGCCACCCCCCGCGCCCGCATATAGAGTTTATCTTTTGTACAATTGTATACTGTTGTGTTTTACGTTGCGGATCTTTCTTGAATGCTGTGTATTAAAATGTTGTCACACTTTTCTGTATCCGGCTGCATTTTCCGTTCTGATTGCAACCCATCGCTGTTGCAGGGGTGTGTGTACGCTCTTCAGCGACAGCGACCAACCCGCACCGAGTAGTTCTTTCCTCCCACAGAATTTTTCAGCTGACCGGCGACAAGTCATTACACCATGAGAAATTGAAAATTACATTTTGAAATTTTAAAATTACAAGTACTGCGTACCGACTTGGAATTCATTGACTGGCAAGAATGGGCTGTCGTAGATATACAAAATATTTAGTAAAATTTACGAAAATGTTTTTCACTGTGTAGCTAGCCTCCTCACGATAGGAGGTGGAGGTTATCGAGTTAGGCCTCCTAAAAAAATGGCCGGCCTCACTCTTTCTCCAATATACTGTGCGCGTGGCCTGATGGTCATCGTCACAGCGGAAAAGGAATTCCCTTTCCCTTTAGGAAAAAGAGAAGGAAGAGATAGCGCCGGAGCTGTGTGATTGTGATGAATAACTTCCCAATATGAATTTCATTTGCCACGCAATTTCATATGGATATCAGTCATACTTTCAGTGGAGGGGATAATGACTCAAGGTTTCGTGGGTCGTTTTACAAAACCTAACAAGACTTCGAAGTACGTCAACAGTGCGGTCGTGACATACACTTGCGTTCATGTACGTCCAAATAATTGGAGCTAAATTTGTGGACGTGTTTGATCAAGGTGCGGACACGCTGCTCCTGCCGGCCAAGGCCCGTGTCCTGCGCTGCCGCGCGGCCAGCGTTTCCCACGGGCGGGAGAGTGGCGGAAAGCGCCGAAGGAGCGCCCGACGGTGACGTGATAGGCCACAGGCACCAACAGCGGAGCGCGGCGGGTGTGCCTACCCCGCAGGCGCCCTGGAGCTCGACGCTGCCGAGTCAGTCAAGCCGAGTCAGTCCAGAACTTCACTCGACACAAAGCGCCCCGTGGGTGCGCAGACACACAGACAAGCCCATCGCCGTGCGGTTCAGCGCACCTACACCGGCAGGCGCCCATATCGAGCGTCCGGTCGGCCAGAGACCCGCAGAGACCATGTACTCTTAGTTCCTTACAAAGAGTGGTCTTTATATTACCTACGAAGAATTGGGTTTGTAACGTCCATAGGGTATGGAACCACCATCTTACAAACGGATTTTGTTCGTCTTACAAAGAGGACCAGTTTTTGAATAGGCACGTGCTCTTCGTATTTCAAAGCCGAGCCCTAATAGAAAGGCTTTGTTTGTATTACAAAGGTTCCAAATCCTGTGTACGTTACGAAGAGCAGTGTGCATTTATTGCAGCCATGTGACAGAAATGTAATGCTATGCTCTGAGTAGCAAAGGGAAAGGGAGGTTTTGGAGTGAAGTACAAGGCTTTCATTACTGCTCGCGTTGGTCCAATTAATTGAGGTATCAGTTGGATACAATGCTGACACGCTGACCTGCGTCAGGCAGGTCTAAGGAATATAAAATTGAGCAAGTTTGGCTTTGTGGTGAGTTTACGTTTTGATTAAAAATCCCAATAATGTGACTTCTTGACAGAAGGAACACAAAAAGGAAATTCAAAAGATGCTTGTTTGAAATTAATGTTTAATTACAATCTTATCACAGCAGCGCGTCTAGTCCCGTTACTTTTCCCACCTGCGAAGCGTTTCCATTCAGGACAGGCGGACAGGCTCTTATGAATGTTTAAGAAATCACTATGTATTACTCGTTCACATAAAAAGAAGCATGAGACACAAACACGTTTTTTTTATTATTTAAAACACTAAGTTGTTAAAAAAATCAAAATTGTTTTGCAGTGTTAACATCAGAAAACCTTCACACGGATTAGAGTAGCTTTGCGTTCTTATTATGATATTTGTGTGCTATATTACAAATGGTATTTAAGTCATATGCGAAACCGAGAGAAAGGACTACTTGAGTGAGAAAGATATGGCACTGCACTTTTATATCAAAATAGTTAATTTTATCTCTTAGAAAACAGCCGCAGAACTCATCTTCGGGGTCGCTTGATAAACTCCGACTGAGTTTGTTCACACGAACCGTCACAATATCTGTTCAAACAAAAATAGATCCGTCTTCAAAACTGCACTATTCCAGCGGTAGCGTGGGCTAACTAAGCACGAGTATGGGTTTATTGGGTGTGCTTTTGGGTGGGGAAAGAGACAGGTATTAAGACCCAGCTATACCCGACCGATTGCACATGACTGAATCCACTGTAGTTGTCTCTCGTCTCTAGGTAGCACTATTTTTTTTACCATCCTTGCTTCAGTATGCATCATGGAAACATGCCGAGTCCCCGTCAGAAGAAAATGCGGATTTTATTTCGCACATCTCACGTTCCTCCTTGATAGGGTGTCGAATGTTAAAGCCACCTAGCAACGCAAACCGCATATCTTGTGAAGCGAACACAGCCAGTAAAACTGTGCCAGTTGTAAGACTGAAATAAAAATCACCCTACAACCAGAAAAATGAAAGAAATGTAGAGTATGACTATGGTTCTTGCAACATATACTTGAGTTGTTGCTGCAGTTTTACTTTTTTTCTGTGTGTACAGAAATATTTTTTTCTGTGCACAAACCTCTATATGACGTATGTGATGTAATTCCCTTGCACAGCACACCATTGGATCGCCCCACCCTCTAATAGCGCCTACATATTATAAATGTACACAAAAGGCTCCACATGGTTTGCGCATTCAAATACCATAAAATTCGCTAAGCTAAGGAACTTTTTCAAGCATTTTCGTGGACTACAAGGTAAGGATTTTTAAGTTTGAATTTTTTCCGTAAAATTTAGAAACTTTCTTCAAAGAAATCGGAAAAGTTGAAATATTTCCAGAAAAATTAGAAAAAAAACTTCTAGAGAAAATTAGAAGATTTAACAGAATAATATGTTTAAAAATTTCCAAAACACATTTTTTGTCAGATATAGATCCCTACCAAGGGTTGGTCCGCCTCCGCCGGCTTCAGCTCACCTGACGGAGAACCTGCTGGCCTCGTTGTGGCGCCGCTTGTGCTCGCTGCGCCAGCGGTTGGCCTCCACGGCGGCGCCCACCAGGTCGCTGCCCTCCACGAAGTCCACGGCGACGATGTTGGCGAACTTGAACCAGTAGCCCGCCCTGGCGTGCGCCGTGATGTTCCAGTTGACCTGGTCCGCCATGAGGCGCAGCGAGGACCGCTCGAGGTTGAGCAGAATGTCGAACACGGTGGGGGTGAGCTCGGCCATGAGCGCGTGCAGCTCCACCCGGTACATGGCGCGCACCTGCCGGTCCAGGTACTCGACGAGGCCCTCCAGGCTCTGCTGGTTGCCCCACAGCTGCGGCACCGCGGCCCACAGCACCGCGCGCTCTGCAACCCGCCAGAAACACAATATGCCTCTGCTGGCGCGGGGCCAGGGAAGTTCCCGTAAGCAAACCGTCTACCATTGCTACGCAGGCAAAACCACTACAGGCCAGAAAAATAAAACGCCAAACAAACGTGAGTAGCGGTACTACCCGCGGGGGATCGCCTAGTGTGAAATGACAGGTGAAACGATGTCAGTCCAACTGATATCGTAACGACAAAAGTTTTGACTTTTCGGTATCGTTCCGGCCGTTCCGGTATCACCGGGTGGGCCCGGCCTGGCCCATCCGCTTCGTACAGGGCGGTGTGGGGACGCACTCCCGGGTCAATCTCCCCTCCGCTGCGAGGACGGCTGCCCTCGAGGCTGCCCTTGTCCACTCACCTCGCTGCTGCCAGCCCCGGTCCCCGTAGGCCACGAGCACGCTGCCCCGCTTGTGCAGGTCCTTGATGCTGGCCAGCGCGCTCGCTCGCTCGTTGGGGATGAGGCGCTCCCCCAGCACCTCCCGGATGAGCGCCAGCAGCTCGCCGTGCGCCTCCGTGTCCTCCATGTCCTCCGCGCCGAAGCCGACGGGGAAGCGGTGAAAGTCCAGGATGACGACCTCGCCCACCGCGGCGTCCAGGAAGATCCGCACGTCGTGCAGCACCCTCCGCAGCGGCTGCACGCGCACCAGGTCGTGGTTCACCCAGAACCTCTCGCCGTGGTCGGGGTGCGACTCGTTCTGCTGGTCACCCATGTCCTGGGGGTAGTGGCCGACGCGCAGGTCCAGGTAGCGGACCCCCCACACGAGCTGCTCGTACGTGTTCAGGTCCTGCGTGAGCAGGTAGCGCACCAGGTGCGAGTCCTTGTCGTCGCCCTCGCGGGGGAAGCTACCCGAGTTGTGCGTCCCGGGCAGCATCAGCTCCGGCAGCGCCAGGTTGTCGCCCCTGCGGCACGACGGCATCCTGAGGACACTAGCTTTGCACCGGGCCGCGCACCGCGCACCAGTCGGCTCTGCTTACCCAGACTCGAACAGCTGCCTCATCCATCGGGGTCGGATCCGCAGGCACTCGGAACTGATGAGCGCGCCCTGCTCGTCCAGCAGAGCGACCCTGAAGTCGAAGCAGTACTCGGGCTCCTCGGGGGTGGCGCTGGCGGCGCTGTCGCGGTCCCAGCCCCCCGGGAGCTGCCGGGGCACGCTGTAGTTGGTGACGAGGCGGCCCGCCGCCCCAGCCAGGCTATCGCTCCAGCCTGCGGGCACGCTCCCGGTCAGGCGCAACCCCTCGGGCTCGCCCTCGGGCGCTCCGCACAGCTGCTGCAGCAGCTGCTGCTGGACTTACGGATGGCCAGCTTGTCGGCGGTCTTGGGCGGCACGTTGAGTGCGTCGTGGTCGAAGAGCACGGCCCGGGCGGGCCGCACGTCGCAGTCCCTGAAGTCCCAGTTGACTTCGGCGAGGCGCTCGGGGCGGCCGCGGCCCCGGAGCGGGGACACGGACACGTAGAGCAGCGCGCGACAGGGGTCCGCCTCCGCGCTCTCCTCGGAGGCCGCAGGGGGCTCGGGCCGCGGGGCCTCCTGGCGCTCGCGGGGGCTCGCCGCCATCACCTGCTGCAGCACTGCATGCAGCACTGTATGGTCGACGTGAACACATTCCACCCCGCCGACCTCCCCCCAGTGACCCGTGCTTACCTAGCAGGCAGAACAAACCCTGCGTGCGCCGCGACCAGGAGGTCGCCGTGGAGCGCGCCATGGCCGGGTGCTGCGCTCACTGAGGGGCCCCAGAGCAGCTCTGAGCCGGTCTGCACCGCAGAGCCAGGGCGCGGGGCGGGCGGGGCGGGGCCGGGCGGGCTGAGCCAGGCGCGCCAATTGCTTGATTTGGATTTCCGTCACTTGTCCCGGCTGGCTGTTGGAGCTGCTCAGCTTTGGATGCGTTGCCTGAGCTGACCTCGTGAGAAATGAACTGTGGCGTCGGTGACCTACACAGCCTCGGTGAAGAGTGGGCGTTATCGATTTGGCGTACATGTAATTCTGAAAAATGACCGGCCTTAACGTCTAACAACCATTTCGGATTGGCTTCGAAACAGAGAGGAGGATTGGTAGACTAGGTCTCTCCATGTGTACAGTAATCGCACCAGATCGCACGCAGCGGCTGGACTCAACACTTCACGCGGGTTGGCTAACTAACGAACGTGTTGAACTGAAATAATGCTAGTAGGCTGATCCACCCAAGGCACGTTCGCAGAACTTTGTAATTACTGCCGCATGGAGACGTGTGAGGTTGCGTACCGTCTTTTACCATGGCGCCTTACGAGCCATCGAGTAGGCAACACGCTCGCACGAACGCGTGCGGTGCAGTCTATAGCCTCGGAAGTGGGTGCGGTGAATCACTGTATATGCCAAAAAATATGCTGTAGGTTCGAGAGGCATGCTGCTTACATTATATCTTCGTCTCTACTCTATTCATTTGATGCTGATATGCCAACCAAGCTTTTCATATCACGCGGCCTTAATTTTTCGTGCATTGCTATGGTTATGATTACGCTTAATTTGGTGATAAGTTACCAGCTCTATTTTTCGTAACAATTAAAAAGGAAATATTTACGTCTTGAGATAGACTATCTTATGTGATTTGTGTCTAGACTAGACGTCTAGTCTCCTATTTGTTAAAATGAAGTTAAACAAAATACTACTGTTTGTTTACTGTCAACATAGGAGCCATGAGCCATTGCAACCTAATTACAAGGGAATTCGAGGGAATTCCACTATCTGATCGATTTGCACGTCACCCAAAGAAGTCAGTGATTACTGCATCATGCTGCAACGTGATTGACGGCGAATCGAGATCTTATGTTTAACACACTGTAATTTGCGTTAATGTGTAACTTACAGGTTCGGAATTGAAAATGACACACACTCTATAAGAAAGCTTAATTTATTAAGAAAGATGGGAAATTTTAAGGTAGGTCGCAACAGTTTTCTGTAGAATGTTGGTGGTTCAGCTCGCCGTGAGCAGCTGCAGCAACTCCTCTGGGTCCATGTTATTCAGGGTGTGAATGTCGATCCCCAAGGCGTTGGCTACACTTAACATGTCCAGACCGAAGGACTTGAGCACGGCGATGAAGTTCATCTCCTCTCCTATGGCAAAGAACTCGTCAGCACACGGTACGGAAGTACATGCCAGGTTGCTGATTACCTTTTGTAGTTATACTGTGCCGAGTGTAAAGGCTACTGCCCAGTGTTGCGGATTTGCATGCCCAAGGGGCAATGGCGCCTTACGGGCAGATCGGGTAGGCAAACCCGCAACACTGTGGTGTATTGCCTTTACAGACGGCGCAGCATGCAGGCGGGCGGGTTAGCCTATCGTCGCAGACCACGGTGCCTTACGGCCCCAAACGGATAGACGACCCGGTCACGCGCCTGCGTGCGTACAGTATACGGTGTGAGAGAGTAAGTCAGACACAGACCTGTGAAGGGGTTGTGCAGCTTGGGGCAGGAGTGGTTGCACTGGGGCCAGGAGCACATCTCCACGTGTCTGGTGGGACAGGTCACGCGGCTGCCACCTGCAGAAAGGCATCAGGTGAGTGTTCGACGGATAACGGGCGGGTGCGTCCATAAACCACGTCGACCTGTGGAGGTGCTTATTCGACGACCCCGCATCATGAAATGTTTACCCCCCGAATTCATGTCATTTTACTACCGTAGAAAATGCACCTCGCACATGCCCACGAAGGATTATCCCCCCCCCCCCCATAGGTCGACTCGGCATCGCGGCTTCACGCAGGAAAATACTATCAACATAGGCCTACTTGACGTTAGGAATGACTAACCTTCTCCCTTCTTGTGCTTGCGGCCGCCGCCCCGCTTCCTCTCGGAGTGATCCATCGGGGAGTCGGCGGACCTGTGCAGAGGGGTTCTCTTTACTCTCTGAACGAGCTCGGCCGGACCTGTGTATGGGCGCACTGGGCGAGTACTCACAGTCTGTTGTCCCAGCAGCGCAGGGCAGATGGCAGGGAGACGCGGCCGACGCGGACGGCCGCCCAGTCGCGCTTGGTCAGCACGGTGTGCGCGATGCAGGCCGGGGCGAACACGGCCCTGCGGACAGAGCGCGCTAGTCAGCTGACGAGTACTCACCGGCTGGCCCCGCCCGGCCCGACCGCGGTATACTCACGACACGTTGCTGAAGGTTGTCCTGAAGCTGTCGCCCATCTCGTGGATGAAGTCCCACTGCTGCTTGGACACCGGGGCGCCCACGTTGTCCGCGGTCATCTGCGCCTCGTCGAACAGCCACTGGAAGAGAAAGAGCGGCGCTGCGGGGCGCGCGGCGTGAGACCGGGGCTGCCCGTACTCCCCACATCATCATGCCCGGCAGGGGGAGGAGGACCTCCCCGCAGTCTCCACGGGGACCTCCAGCTGGATCGCGTCACGTACCTTTGACCGTCGGGTAGAGCCGGTAGCCGAAGTAGCACCTCCAGGGGTCGGTGCGGTGGCGCGCGGCGCAGGGCGCGGGCACGCGGGCGCGCCACAGCGCCATGCCCTGGCGCAGCGCGCCCGCGGCCGTCAGCGCGCGCCCCGGCACGGGCGAGAAGGGCGGCCGGTCCAGGAACCAGCCCGAGTCCACCAGCCCGCGCACCGAGACCCGCGGCAGCCCCAGCGCGCGCACCAGCTCCTGCACGGCGTCCACGTTCAGCATGACGCCCGTGCCGCCCGCGCTGTGTAGGGGAACAGCACAGTCATCAACACGGCTGGACCACACCGCACCCGTGCCCAGCTTAGCGACGTTGGGAGAATAGCGGGTGGAACAAGGGCCTCCCAGATTTGTCAATAAGTTTTCGCCACAGCCACTCCCTTCCATCTCTTCCACCCAGGCGACGGCTGTTTTGTTCTACCCGCGCTATTCTTTTGAGCTGAACATCACAATTGGCGCCATTCAGAGCGCAGGTGCGCGACTCGGCTCGGACCCACCTGGTGCCGGCGAGCAGGACGTGCGAGTCGTTGGACAGCCAGCCGTTGGCGGCCAGGTCCCGCACCACCTCCTGCACGATGAGCGCGCCCATGAAGCTGAAGGTCTCCCCGGGGGTGGGCGCGGGGGAGGAGCCGCTCCAGGAGTCGCTCGAGCAGTAGGGCACCAGCCTGCAAGCACCGCTGTGTGAGAGGCGTCCTCAGAGCCGGCACCGCCGCGGGTACCGCGGGTACCGCCCGGCGCACCGAGCGCACTACTTACACGTGGTTAGCGTTCCAGCTGTACGGGTTCTCCTCGGGCACCGGGGACAGGATTCCGCCCACTGGAACAAGCAATTATTAGCAGGTTCACTGGTGTGTTTCCGCCGCGACGCCCCGGGGGCCCGGGGTGCGAGCGCTCTAAGGGGCTCGGGGGCGCTCACCGTTGCGCTGCTCGGGCCACAGCCTGGAGGTCATGAGGTGCCGCAGCCGCTGCCAGCGGTGGTGGCAGCTCCGCGTGTCGTGGCAGTACCAGCCGCCCTCCAGCAGCACGACCCAGCGCCGGCTGCCCGCCGACCTGCGCACGTAGAACCTGCACGCGGCGCGGCGAGTGTTAGTAACGCGTGTTGCGGCCGCTACGCGTCGCACGGGCGTGGTGTCTAGTAGTTACCCGGCCGGTGATCCGTCGTTGCAGGTGACGCTGGCGTTGGTCAGGAACTGGCGCCTCAGGGCGCGCTCCTCGTCCTGCGGGCTGCAGCTCACGGCCTGCGGGCGGGGGCCTCTGTGAGTGCTCCGTGCACTGCGGGGGGTTTGGGGGGTGGTGGGTGGGGCGCTTACCTCCATCATCATGGCCTGCACGTCGGCGAGCGGCGCGGCCCGCAGGCCGGGGCCGGGCGGCGGGGCCGTGGGGGCCGGCGGCAGCACGGCGTTCTCCTCGCGCAGCTCGGGCGCCGCGACGACCGTCCCCAGGGCCAGCAGCAGCAGCTGCAGCAGCGGCAGGACCTGCGGAGTGCGGACAGGTGTCTGTCAGGGGCGTACTCGTACTTGCATGAGCCACCCCAGCGGCGCTGGCATGCGAGGAGCAGAGCAACGCACTCACCGCCATTTCGGAGAGCTGGAAGACGGCGCTCGTGTCACCTGGCGAGGCTCATGTCCTGTCGGGCCGGGGCGCGGGGCCGCACTGGCGGGCCTCTGCTCTGCTCTGTGATGGGCCTCCACCTGAACGCGACTGATCCGCAGCCCCCCTCGCCTCTCCTCCCTCTCCGTGCCGCACGCTTCCTTTGGCGGCGCCTTTGATGTGCCGGCGAGAGGAGGGAGGGGGTGGGGGCAGCGGAGGGGGCGCTCCAAAGCTCGCCGCCTCCGCCTCGCTGCAGCGGTCACGGCAGCCGGTGCGGGTGGTGCGGGCACGGGAGGCGCGGGCCAGCAGCACCCCGAACATCTCCGAGATTATCCAAGCACGCCAGCACGCCACACACCGAGGCCGAGGACTTCTAGTGGTGCTGGTAGACGTAGAAGGCAATGACGTTCTAATTATTTGTTTCGTCAAGCTCGCCCTCCTTTTCTGTGACTTTGTATCTTTTTGGCAAGAGGCATTTGCATTACTTGCAAGCCTAGCCTGACAATCGCAAGTTAGTGTGATATGTTCACGCCAAAGCAGACCCTGTGAACGCCAGGATTGTTCCCGGTGGCCACTTTGCCTTGGTCGGGAAGAGGTGTGATCATAGGGGCAGCTCCTCGTGGCGAGCCTCGGCACCTGAGAATGGAGCGAGGGTGTCAGTTTAGGACGATAACAACGTAATTCCCTTAGATGCATTTTTATTTAAGAGAATTCAGCCGAAATACAGTCAGGTAATCCTGTATATAAAAAGGAGAAATACACTTGGCGCGCCGCGCTCCGCCGCGCGGGCGGGCAGCCCATGCGGCACTGGTGCCCGAGGTGTTGCCTAACCGCACGGCTGCACGGCGACAAACACACAGGCATTCATTCAGACACTAAGTTGGATTGGAGTTCAGAATTTGTTCAAAATCCGTCTACAGTAAACAGCAATTATCCGACGAAAATCGCCAATGTAACATTTTCAGTACAGGAGTAGAAGAAAAATTTGTGAAAATTGCTGCAGCAATGCCACAGGATGATTATTTATATTATTAAGTTGAAAACTTTTCCAACTGGATCTGACAGTCCTACACAAATGTCACAGGTATGACACAGGAAGATTAACATATCAGATTCCTTATTGGCCTACACAATGCAATCAGTAAGAGGGGAAGATCTATCACGCGCTTCGTACAACTTGGGTCAAAAATGCTGAAATAAAGATTTTTCAAAAACAAAATCTCTTGACATACACGACATATAATCTATTTACCATCCTGAATGCTCGTGCACCCCACAAAGAAAGGCAATACACTAAGCATGCAATTCAGAAAAAAGTCTAGTTTCATGGCAGTTTGTGTTTTTAAAATGTATTCATACTTTCTGAAAAGGGGGGCAGACTTTTTGGTGCTTGGGACAATAGACATTTCAGCAATAAAATTAAAAAGGTGCACAAAAGTGTTATAGTTTCATCAGAAAAATTTGTCAAAGGTTCCAAAGCCAAATAATCTACACCATAATTCAATGAAATAGTGGACACAGCTGCTTTATTGCTGGAATGAGATTTGAAACGATGAAGAATAGTAATTAGACACCATGGTAAGATAGCTGTGCAACACGGAACATACAACAAGGATCAGAAGTTGATTACGTTTGTACGCAGCCAGGTCACTTGCTAGGGTCCTCCGTAAGGATGTTAATGACTCAAGAAAATTCTATTAAAGAGATGAAATGAAATGGCACTTCATCGACTAAAACACAAACATATACTACTTACGCTTTTTTTTATTTGTCAATTTTAAAACACTTTAAATAAACCTCTCAGCCTCACTCATTGCAAAGCAAAATGACACTTTAAACAGTTAGTGAGAAACAAAAATAAAACTTAACATATTATACAGCAAACAGAAGTTTTGGCAATCTTCCTACAATCAAAACAACAATGTGATGGGGGAGATAGAAGAAGCTTTGCACTGGGCCTCGCCTTGCCTCACCTTGCCTCGAGGGCAGGCCAAGCCTAATACCAACAGGTCAACGTAATACTAACAGAATAGGGTCAAGGATTGCACAGGTAAACACTACAGCTACGTACAAATAAAACAGTTTCACATTTACATGGTAAAGTGAACCTCAGCAGTACAGGTACTTACATGTACCATATGGTAGTGTACAAACAGATACTAATTAATTATTACAATTGTTTAAAGTCCATTGTAAAAC